TTTAGGGGTTTAGGGTTTGGGGTGGAAGGTGGTTGTACACCCTTACTTACGCCCTGGCATGCATCCTAAACCCGAAACCGTGATCGAGCACCAGCTTGTTTTTAAGCGGAATAACAAAGTTGACAAGTGTTCTACAAGGTTTTTGTGTTTAGGGTTCAGGGTTTAGTTGGATTGGTGTTATGAGTGTTTCCTATAGGGGAATAATCAGGGTTTTGTTGCTGATGGACAAAACCTTGCATTACAACTAAACAATGAGGCATACGCCATGTTGCTGTAGCAAATTCAGGAGTGTGTCCTCCAGCAGTATTGTACCAGTAAGCAGGGAAATAGATCCTCATGAACACTTGCTGAGGCTTAGGATGGAAGAGTTGTAAGTTATAGTCTTCGGCAGAGTCTATGATCAGTAGGTACTTGGACCCTTGGAGGGTCGGGGGACTTAGTAAGTAGTTACTATATATCCCCAAGTAGGATCCTACTTAGGGCACTGATAACTCGATCTTCTTTTTACCCACTTACTAAATCCTCCGACCCTCCGAGTAAGATGGCAAACCCTAAATCCTAAAGTTTAGGACCTAAACTTGCCGCACAGGACGGAAAGCCCAAGCGGCGGAAGGGTAAGCTCGTCGCGGCTCCTTACAAGGCCGCTTGGCAATTCTCTGCCTTGCAGTACCCTCATAGAGCCCACGGGTAACCTAAACCTTACATCGGTTGATGATATATACATATCCTGCATTACCCATAATAAGGAATATACCATAGTTCTTATAGCTAAGGGTCCCTAGGGTAACGCAGGATTTATATCATCAACAGTAGAGTTTCCGTAAGGAATGCTATGGGTGGCGACAAAACCTCAAGAATCTGGCACCTTAAGCCATAATGTAGGGGCCTTCCTAATTAGAGTAGGGTTTTGGGCCCCTTTATAGTATACTTATAATAAGAAACCCAAAGGAATAATATTGGTAATCATGTTAGGCTTCTATAGTAAACCCTTAAAGGAATCCGAAGTTGTGGTAACCTGACTTCAACTCCCCAGCAAGGATCAAGCTTATGATCCCTTTAAGGTAACCCTAAACCCTAAACCCTAAACCCTAAACCCTAAACCCACACCATTCTTCCCGAACCTTTTAGAAGGAACCCTATCTTGTGGTGACTTAAAATAAGCTCCTGACAAGAAGCATTCTAGGGTTTAGGGTTTACCTTAAGAACCCAAAACCTACTTTTTTGTAGGGTCCCTATAAATACCATATCAGGGTTTATAATAAGGACCTACAAGAAGGTGGGTTTGGGGTTCTTAACCCTAAGGGTCCAAGTACCTAATAATCATATACTCTCCCAAATATTGACCTAGAAAACTACTATCCGCAACCAAAGTACCGTATTATTGGGTCCTTTGGACCCCTAGGGTAAGGTAGGGAATCATTCCAGGTGCCCCCGGACAGCGAGCTTGAGCTCACCGTCATCCTTTGCCGCGCGGCGTGTGATTGGCAGTTGGGGTCTAACCTTTTGGTTTAGGGTTTAGGGTTTAGGGTTTAGAGTTCCTTTACGGGTTCTAAACGGCAGTTCGGGCTTAGCCCTCTGGGCCCATGTGCCCTTTGAAGGTTCCTTTACGGGTTCTAAACGGGGCCCTAAACCCTAAACCCTTAAACCTTAAAACCCCAAAACCCTAAACCTAAACACCAAAACCCTAAACCCTAAACCCTATAAGGGTTCTATGAAAGTTTAGGGGTCCATGTATCCAAATAGTGATGCTGAAGCCTGGGGGTGCAGAAGGCCTTCGGTTGAGGCGAAGGGTTTAGGGTTTAGGGTTTAGGGTTTAGGGTTTGGGGTTTAGGGTTTAGGGTTTAGGGCTTAGGGTTTAGGGCTTAGGGTTTAGGGCTTAGGGCTTAGGGTTTAAATTTAGGGTTTAGGGCATTGGGTTTGGGGTTTAGGCTTCATAAGGGTTTAGGGGAAGAAACCCTGCGGATGTGTCTTTTCAGGGTTTTTTAGGTTGCGTTGTTGCTGGCTTTGGGGCACTCTGAACCCCTAAATCTCTAAACCCTAAGCCCTGAGCCAGTAGACTCAAAGCCCTGAACCGGTAAACCCCCAAAACACTAAACCCTAACACTCTGAACCCTTAAAGCCCTAAACCCTAACCAAGCCCTGAACCCACTAAACCCCCAAACCACTCAACCCATCCTTGGAGAATCAGGTGGCAGTCCGCTAACGAAGGGTTCCCCGAGGCTCAACATCTCTCAAAAGTCTGTTACGGCATGCATGGCCTTAGGGCCGAAAAGCTTTATTAGGGTCTAGGGTTTTTAGGGTTTTAGGGTTTAGGGTTTAGGGTTTTTAGGGTTTTAGGGTTTAGGGGTTAGGGTCTTTAGGGTTTTGGGGTGTTCAGGGTTTTAGGGTTTAGGGTTTACACGGTTTTTGGGTTTAGGGTTTTAGGGTTTAGGGTTTTAAGGTTTTAGGGTTTAAATAGCATTTAGGGCTGGAGCCTCCGGGGTTTACATGAAACCGAACGCTGCCACCTTGTATCATGCCCTAGTCATGTCACCGTGATCCTGCAACTACCTAAACCCTAAGCCCTTAGCCCTAAAACCCTAAACCCTAAAACCCAAAAACCCTAAACCACAAAAGCCTGATATAGTATGGTCTGTGTGCCAAAGAACCTCTATACATATACATATACATACATATATGTATGAGTCCTTAGAGCCGTAGGGTTAGAACTGAACCACCATACCCGAACCTTGAAACCATGCAAGCTGAACGCTATGTACCCTTATAGTTTCCTTGAAACTTGCCAGTTATTTGCGGTAGAACCCTTTAGAGGAACCCGTAAAGGGACCCTAAAGGGGGACGCCTGAACGAAATACCCTAAACCCTAAACCCTAAACCCTAAACCCTAAACCCTAAACCCCTCATGTCAAGGGACCCAGTATAGTTAAACCGAGCTCAGGCTACGACAACGAGCCGATGAAGTTCGTCCATGCGCCGAGGCCCACGGTTTAGGGTTTAGGGTTTACTTGCATATGGTTTAGGGTTTAGGGTTTAGGGTTTAGGGGTTTAGGGTTTAGGGTTTAGGGTTTAGGGTTTAGGGTTTAGGGTTTAGGGTTTAGGATGGAGTGAGTTCCTTAAGTACCCTGAAAAGTAAGCAGCATGTCCCTTTTCACAATGAATCCCAATACCATGTTTGAAGCCTAAGCCCTGTTAAGATTCAGGTCGCTCGTAGCGTGTATGATGGTTTGTTATAGCTGACTTGTACAGGAGCAAGGCAGCAGGGCATCTGTACTAGGAGAATGTCAGTTAGGCTCTTGGACTCTTGGGTTTAGGGTTTAAGGTTTCTGTCCCGCCTACTTGCTCCTGCGGCTTCAATCGTCTACTGATTTTCTATGCTCATACAGTCCCTAAGCGCGGAACCCTAAACCCTACCTAGACCCTAAAGCACGTACAGCCAGCGAGAGAGAGAGAGAGAGAGAGTTACGACAAGGGGATACTTAAAGGATCATGGGACTTAGTAACTAGGGTTATAAATAAGGTAACTATACTTATAATTACTTGTAACCCCAATTAAGGTACTTATAACCTTACTTACTAAGTCCCATGATCCTCCAAGTACCACCACTAACGTTACGACAAGGGGAGACTACCCTAAACCCTAAACCCCAAACCCTAAACCCTAAACCCTAAATCCTATAAACCCTAAACCCTAAACCCTAAACCCTCAACCCCAAAACAACTAAGCTAACTTTCTCCTGCCCCAGGTTTCCCAAGAAGAAGACATACTCCTGGTGGTGCATTCTCGGCGATACCGAGGCGAACTTTGGGGCAATTGGGTTCAGGGTTTTCGAAAGTTGAGGTTGAGAGAACACCGGAAACCCCAAACCCTGAACACGAGGCTCTAAACCCTACCTAAACCCGCAAAAGTAGGCAAAAGACTGGCCCAAAACGCATAAAAAGGCGATTATTCGTCAGAGTTTGAGTGTCCAGGTCCAGGTATGCTGTCAGCCCCGAGCCCTAAGCCTCAAAGCCAAATGGGTGGTTGTCAAAATTATGGTCCCTTTTTGGGTCCTTATTATAATACGGCACCTACTATTTAGGGTACCCCGAAAGGGACCATAATTTTGACAACTACCCAAATCGAAGCGCTGCCTTGTTGTGGACCCAGTGGGCTGATGTTGCAAGTTTAAGCTCAGGATGTAGGGTTTAGGGTTTAGGGTCTGGGCTTTAGGGTGTATGGTTTAGGGTTCAGGGGTGTAGGG